CAGGAGGGGATTGGGAGCCCTGGCCAGGGATGGGGATGGGACCCTGGTCGACAGGACGGGGATTGCAGGCTTTCGCAAGTTTAGGATGAGCTCGCTGCCATAGGATTGGGAACACAGTTGGAGGATTAGAATTGGGTGTTCTGCTGTAAAATGAGGCTGCAGGTGCAGAATTGGGAATACTGACAGGACTGCAAAACAGGCCAAGGATGAATGGTTTAGTTATCCATAGTTGCTTACATGGAAACTCAAACAAGCACAAGGAAGTTCTGCTCGCAAGTCGCGTCCCATAGCAAACCAAACTCAAACACAAGGAAGTTCTGCATATAAGTCGCGTCCCATAGCAAACCAAACTCAAACACAAGGAAGTCCTGCTTATAAGTCGCGTCCCATAGCAAACCAAACTCAAACACACGGCCTTGGCCATCTCTTCGTTAGTCCTGCGCTTTTTCTCCAGCCGTGGTGACGCATCCTCGCCCAACTCGTCAGCGGGCTGTGCAGTCGGGGCACATGCTGCTTTTGCAAGCTTGAGGGCTTGGAGAGCTTTAAGGTTCGGGGCGAGGGCCCTCAGCGACTTGATTGCCACCTCGGAATCCGCATCCGCCAGCTGTGCGTTGACTTCGACCTCTGTGCCAGCAAGGAAGACATAAAGAAGGCGGTGACAAAACAGCAAGTTTGCACCTTTCGTTCAAAACAAAACCGAATGGAGTCGGCGTCACAGGCAGCGGCTAACAAAGTCGGTTACATGCCAGGGTCCCAAACTTCCATTGGTATGGGCGTAGGCATCGACCTAAAACAAGACCCATTGCAAAGAGCGCAAGCGTCGGATAAAGTATACCCTGTAGTGGTTGGTCAGTCCTGGTCAGTCCTGTTCAGCAAGCGGTGAAACCAAATTAGGCTGAAGTGGTTCTTACCGCCAGCCACGGTCTTAAACCCTAAGTCCACCAAGCCTTCTTCAGACAATGTTTTGGCGATGGCGGCATCGGCCGACTGCCCGATGGGGTCCATCCCAAGCGTTTCCACGATGACTTCGGCCATGTCCCTGGCGAAGCCCAACCCCGTCAATTTTGCCAGCTTTCGACGCTTCTGCAGGAGGTTAACACCATTGGGAATAGAACTGGCATGGAACGCGACTTGGTGTAAATGTGAGAAAAGTGCACCATTGGTGCACCCTGCCAGTTCTTCAGTCAGACGCAGTCCAACCCCGTTCTTACCTTGTCCGGCCCATGCACATCCACATCCAGGGCACCATCGGGTGCCATTCTGGAAGAGATAACAAACGGTCGTCGGGCTGTTACTAGCTTGCGCTTAACAATGTGGGCGTCTTCCAAGACGAAGTTTGGGACACTTTGAATAAGACCCGAACGTAATCTGTATGCAATCTGCAGACCCTACTGGGGGACAAGTCCGCAGGAGGCGTATCAACATGCAAGACGTTATCAACAGCAAGCCGGTTTTGGGGTCCAAGTACAGCCTGTCACGCTGACTAGTTGGACAAGGCTGTATGCTCTTCTTCGTGAAGGCAGAATGACTTCACCAGGAGAGCAGCAAGAATGAAGTCGCCACTGCGACCCAGTTCTACGACAGCACCACAGAACCAGCCTTAGAAGCTCCGGTCGCTTCGCTCCGACGCATCTAAGCCAACAAGACGTTATCAACAGCAAGCCGCTTTGGGGGTCCTGGCTCAAAGTGAGGCCCACCTGGAGTTAGTTGTTCAGCTTTCATGTACTTCCTCAAACAAACTGCTTCTCTAGTACTGTGATGTTTTATTAAGCAGCCCCTTCGCACAAATGTGTCCGGTCGTACTCTGCCGAATAAACCCTCCGTACTTCGTCTCAAAAGCCAGGAGCGAATTTTACCGCGCAGATGCGCGCGTGCGATTCTCAAAATGCACCTGTACAAGTGTATATAAATTTTCTTGGCGGAAAAGGACCAGGTGCGCCAGCGCGTTGCGCAGGTGGGCACGATGGCCATAGTCGCACGCGGCATGCAGCCTAGTCTATTGCGTGGCTGCCTTGCAGTAACTGAAAGCATCGAAAGCCTACGTCGTAGCTTGCAACACTGGGCTCGTGAAACTGCCGCGGGAAGAGGAAGCGTCTGGCGAAGAGGCAGTTGTGTGCAAGCCAAAAGGCGCCTGCTTTCTGCAGCGCAGCGCATACAGCACCTTGTTCCGACTAAAGTCAAATTACAAAGTTGCGCAAAGTATAACATACATAAACTTAATTAAACATAAGAACAGATAAGACGTTTAGGGCCTTGTCGGTGACATGGACGCCGCTGTTGGCTTGGAACAGCTATTTGCTGTGCATAGGGACGTGCCCGCGTTAGCCGTGTTCAACAGCTCAGATTGGATTTCAGCCAACAAAGCCTCAAGAGCTGCTGCACAACCACCGGGAATGTCTTCAGTTGGGCACGTGTAGTTTTGGTCGGCGGGGTCGAGCATCGTATGCATTGCGCACAGAAACCAAGGTGCAGCGTCTCTGTAACATCGCCAACATATCCGGTACGCGGTGGCAGGCTTGCCGAGCACGACTTGAAGGGGGGTCGCATCTAATCACCATTCAACTAAGCATGCATGTGCTCGGTTGAATGCTCGGTAGCGTGCGAGTTTACCTATCAGGATGTTTGTTTGCATATATCCCTCCAAGCGAGAGGGCTTGGACCTATGCTGACGTTCGTTACAAGAAGTGAACTGAGGACTGATGCTACACGTCATGTATACGCGTTGCTTAGCTTGCAACGAGACGCGCCCACGATGAAAGCTCCAGGACCCCATCTCCCCTCCCCCCCTCCCCCCAAAGCTTCAGCTACGCTCACAATACATTATACTGCTACACTATTCTCTCCAGTCCTACCACATTATATTTCACCGACGTACTTCGGCACCTTCCACAACAATACATGCTTCGTAAACGCGGTCAGCTGCTTCACCAGGGCCCCCATATTTGGTTATATTCATGCAAACTGAGCTCAAGTTGCAAGGCGCGAACATGCTGGCCGCATCATGCTGCACCGCATTCCCAAGCCAGTATGCACAACTCTGAGAAAATTTGCAGTCTTCATTGTTTTGTTGTGGCACAACTCCACGTATCTCTGGCACATTAGTGCATAGGAGCAATTCTTGCGCAGATGTCCAAGTCGACTCAAAAGCATTCCAATTGGACTGTCTGGCTTGATGTAATGTTATCAGGTTGTTTGTCGTAGCGCTTTGGCGCACCCAACGTGGAATGTTGGCGCCAGACTGTGCAGCTGAACTCCTGTGCTATGGGTGAACCAATGGTGCACCCGTTCCTTCGCCATCATCAGCACGTTCCCAGCCATGGACATTTTGACAGAACACCCTTGTATGTTCTACCATTCTAACCACAGCATTATAATTTGTTGTTGTGGCCGTCTATCGAACATAACAATCCTTCCTCCCTTAGGACGCGCTATTTGCACTAGCAGCCAGTGTGCAATTAGATACGTAGACCTCTGTGATGCGAGTTTTTCCTCAGTTGAGATCCGCTTCAACGAGCGTTTGTCGCTTCAGTCTGCTTCGGAACGAACACAGCCGGGCGGAATTTGACGCTAGAGGAAATAAGCCATAGAGCAAGAGAAAAATACCTCGCGGAAATAGAAAATAACCCTGGTCATTCCCCTGATTTACGCCTAAAGAGAAAGCCGATATTACAGCACCTGTGTAAACGTAAGGAGTAGGTTTGTAGCTGGCAAGGGATGGGGATGGGACCCTGGCTGACAGCTTTCGGATCTGAACACAGCTGCAGGATGGGGATGGCCCTGGTCGAAGGGATTGGGAAGGGACCCTGGCTGGCAGGATGAGGATTGGGGGAACACAGCTGCAGGATGGGATTAGAAACCCTGGCCGTAGGATTGGGGATGGGACCCAGGCTAGCAGGATGAGAAACCTGTCTCAAGGGATGGGATTACCACCGGGCCCCTAAGATGGGAGATGGGAGTGGGTCACCCCAGCCAGGATGGGGGGATGGCTGACCACTACCACCCCCCGGGATTGGGGGATTAGACCGTTTTTGCAACCCTCTGGTGAAGCCACGGGTGCTTCCCGGTTCTTCACCCCCAGCTGCTGTCTGTAAGCAGGGTTCTTCACCCCGATTCGGGCCCGAACGTTTTTCAGACTTTTCCGTTTTGCCCGAAAGGAAAATTAGTGCACCCCGGAGCATCCCGAACGGATTTGGGGCCTTTTGGAGCATTTTTTCGGGGGCCCCACCGAAGCATTTTGAAGGCATTTTCGGAGAAAACCGAACGATATTTCAGCGTAAATTAGCATGTTTTCGGGCGCAGACCGGGGCTGGAAACCGGGCTTGCCGTGTAAGGCCCGCTTGGTCACCAGTCAAACAACAAGTACAAATGTGCATTGCGGCTGTTTCACAGCTGTATCGCACACATTTTCATACATCTAAGCATATCCATATCCCACATTTTCATACATCTAAGCATATGCATAGTTAAACATGCCCGAGTCAACTGATGATGCAGGTGCCCCGCATCTCCCTCGGGATTCGCGGCTTCGGCAAGCTCGAACCGCCTGTTTGCCTTCGATGTCAGCGAACTTGACGTTTTGCAGGAAGAGTTTTCAGTTATGAAGTCAAAGATAGCCTTGCTTTGGGTAAAATCCTTGCTGAAATATTTCTCCCAGGAGCTATGTTCCAAAATAAAATCAAACACCTGTTAATTCAGCCGTCCTAGCATATAACGATAGAATCCAGCTAAATTTTACCCCGAAAACCGCTTTAGACAGTTTCGGGGTACCCGAAAACACTCTCCGGCTGACAGGAAAATTTTCGGGGAGGGCCCCGAAAGGTTAATCAGAGGGTTTCGGACACGGCCGAAATTTTTGGGTACCCTGGTGAAGAACCCTGTCTGTAAGACGGCGGAGCTGGTGGTGGGGCAGCTGGTGACTATGCCATTGGCATGGGAGGTGGTGGTGGTGGTGGTGGCGGCATGCTGCCACCAGTGGCAGCACCACTGCTACCAGTAATGCTGACTCCGCCAGCACAGCCCTTGGAAGGCATATTTACAGCGTCGTCATCATTCTCAGCATCCATCTCTCCACCCTCTCCACCATCGCTGTCATCATCGCTGTACTGGCTTGGGTAGGGCACCGGTGCACTCCCGTTCGGTCTCTTCTTGTTAAACAGTTCGGCCCCGTTACACCACACGGGGATCCACTGCTCCACTTTAATCACCTGCCACATGGGCCGTAGCCTTGATCTTTCCGCCCGCCCTTCCTTGGTGAGCAGGTCGTCTACCCGAAGACCCAACCTTTTCAGGTCAGGTGCGGCTTTGAAGTATTTGACCCGGTCTTTCCACCTGATGTCAATGAGCCAGCTCTTCATGCTGCGATCTGGCCTCTCAGTAAAGAGTGAGGAGACCGATGTCAAGCATGTGCAGGCCCCGCTTGGCGAGGCCCAGATGCTGCCCTCATCTTGTTCCTGTCGGTCGTGATAACAATGCTGTCCCAATAAAAGAATTGATTGCTGCTGATCAGTCTGCGGGCATCCATCGTGATGCCACTCGGGTCGGTTTCCAGCTTTGACCCGGCCTTGGAGGTCGATGATCTCCACACGGGAGAGTTGTTGCTCATTTTTCAGATCGAGCATCTGGTCTCCGAGCTTCCTGAAGTCCCTGTAGAGGGCTAGGAGCATGCCAGCAGTGATAGGGCCATCTGAATTGCCCCGCGCTCTTGCCAGGTACTCTGTATAAATGTTGTCCATTCTATATTGCAATTTCGAGGTCGAATTACACCGGAAATTTCAGCAAGGCAGGACCACGGTCGTTGGCGGCTTGCAGCACTGTTGGTTCTATACTATGTGCATTTTTACTTCTATCTAGAAGCCTATCTGACCAGGCGAACGAATACCTCTTGTACTGTCGATCGTGTGACAACAGACACCATCTCACAGCTATCCACAATAACAAGTGTGTACTTCAAACATGACGACGTTCTTGTGCTTGCAGTCCTATGCCGTACGGACTGCCATGCGAATCAAACGGGGGTCAAGTGGCTGCACCAGGACTGGGCCCCTTTTCGGCTTTGAAAAGCCGGCCCCCTCATTTTCTTCCTCTGGAACTAAGCTCAAAAGAACACCGCTACATCCCGCGAAGTGGTGGAAATGGTAGCCATGACAGCAACCTCGAATAGGATGCCCAGCACAACGATGTCCGTCCACACCCGTCCACCATGCAGACACGTGAAGGTGAGGCTCGAAGACGTTCAAAAAAGTTCATGAACAAAGAGTTCCAGAAGAGCACATGATACAGATACACAGCTGAATTAGTACAGCACAGAACAGGCCTGATGGCGCTGGCACATGTCTGGCACTGTGTTTTTTCTGCTTTTGTTGTTGTGTTACAGCGGGCTTTCAGTTTTGTAAATTGACTGTCCGACAAAAGAGGACCATCTTGTGCTGTGGATAAGAACAGCGCAGGTACATGTAACCTCTCCTGCAGTTACAACTTTAAGAAATGCAATATTTCGCCACCTTAGGAAACGAAGCTCATTATGGCTAGCACCCAGCCTGTAACAAAGCAAAGGCGTAACCCGGGATGCTCAGTTGGGCCTTGCGTCGTTACATTGCCCCCCCTTTAGCAATGGACGTCCGCGGCCATTATATCGAGCATTGGAGCCATCCCACCTCACGCATTGTGCGCTGGTTTATCCATTACCCATGATATCGCTTTCTGCGATACCTGCTTGTTGTCAGAATCGAACCACCGACCCGAAGATTTCATCGGAAGTCGTGCGGCCCCGTCTCGATACCATTGTAACAAAACAAAGGCGTAACCCGGGATGCTCAGTTGGGCCTTGCGTCGTTACACAGCCGCTATGTGAGAAATGGGCCCTACATGTACAACAACTCATTAAGCGCAGAACTTTCCTCATTGCAATTGTAATCATGAATTTTTCGGTATTTTAAGCAGTTATGAGAAACGTTCTTAACCATTCAGCTTCCTCACTTCATTTCATTGCCCCCGCCTTTATTGCCTTCGCCTTTATTGCCTTCATCCTTGTCGTACAAGCACCCTAGGGAGAGTTTCGCTGGTATTTTTCGAGCTGCAAATCCGTCATCTCTGTCGTAAAAGACACTTGTCGGAGGTTTTGCCTAGTCATTTCTGCGCGCCTTGATCTTTGTTTCGCTGGTATTTTTCGAGCTGCAAATCCGTCATCTCTGTCGTAAAAGACACTTGTCGGAGGTTCTGCCTAGTCATTTCCGCGCGCCTTGATCTTTGTCGTAAGAAGTTGCCGAGCTTATTATTGCTCCTTCTACCAAAATTGCAAATGAACAAATTATTTATCAGTCATTCTGAATTCCTTACCAAGAACAGTATCGTGCTGTGCGATAAAGTATCAGGGTGTTAGTGTTACAGTGTTCAATGACAATCTCAAACACTTTTAACGATGCCTTATAAAAAGTCTGATTGATAGGTCGGAAGGTTATCCTTTATAAAGGCAGTAGGTGTTCCCAGTTTTGTGGAAGCTTTATGCTTCTTGTTCGGCGTTATGCACCACACCGTCGGTGTCGTTCACAGGTGCTGTAAGGCCTTCACATTGATACTTGATAGTCTTTTATGTCTAGCAATACTAAATGTCTAGCAATATTCGTTTCTGCATTTTATGCACGGAATGGCAAATGTCGTACTTCAATCCGTTCCTTAATCCAGACGTATGAAACACTCCGACGGATTAGATTTGGATTGGCGCGGATTAAAAATACCTTATTCCATGACTTTTAATCTAAGTGGAAACATCCCCTTGGACTAATAACTCTAGCTTCAGAGTTAGCGCTGCTGATGTGAAGAGGTTGACGTAGGTAGACTTAGCCCGTGCTATTAGCAGTCCTCATGGGAGATAAACGCGATCGTGCTGCAAAGGCGGGTATTGACGAGGGACCGCTTGTCCCCAACAAGAAAGTTCGCACGGATACGGACATCGTTCGAGGATGCGATCTTCAGGATGTATGTTGCTTACCATGAAGCAACGCTGTTATTAAAGGAAAGGCCATAGATTGCTTTCTTCCTCGCCAACGTTATCGCAGGTCAAGACCCGGAACCGCCAGTTGAGCGCTCCAATCCTGCAGTTATCTGGCCATGCTGGCGAAGTGTTATCACTACGGTTCAGCCCAGATGGGCAATACCTCGCGTCAGCATCATTTGACAAGGACATCTTTTGCTGGCGTGTTTACGATGGAACTGATAATTTTATGGTCCTAAAGGTGTGAGTAAGTCGTCCCTGTAGCCACTGTATGGACCGAAAGAGCTTGGACTTGTGAGCAACGAGTTGACCGACAGGGTTATCGCAAATATTCTAAATTGCAGCAGGTTCGGGGCAGAAGAGGGAAAATGTGAGTCGGACTTGCAGATGAGCATTATAGTGCAAAATTTACGTCGAACACTCTCGCTGGGCACGCTTTCGTTATTTTCCCGTAGTGGAAGGGTATGCAAGGAATCCTTCCACGCCGCTTCCCAAAGTTTACAGAAGATCCTGTCTTTACTAAGCCCGGTTGTGCTGCGAGGGATTCTTCCCTCAAATTTATGAACTTGTTCGTGCCTCTCTAGACATGGCCATGCGCGGTTTTGCCTTGCTGCCAGGGACATCGGAACGCTGTTTTGGAGGTACATTGGTTCACAGGTGGCGAAATGCTGCTCAGCTGTGCCGCGGATAAAACGGCGAGATGCTGGGATGTTGAGTCCGGTTTACAGGTGCGGGGGTGGTCGGGTTACATGGCATCGGCACGTTTGTGATGAGGTACATGTCCTCAGTTCTGCACAGCCGGAATCGTTGATAGTCCAAGCGATAAAAAGACATTTCCCTTTGTGCATGGGTTGCGGGAATCTCAGGATTCGTTGTACAAGTCCTGTGCTGCATGCAACTTGGTGATGGCAACGAGTTTTCCATGCTGCCTGCCCCTTCTTGTGGCAAACACCTGGCATGTATACTGCTGCCTCTGGGCGCGTGCTTCGTGTGCAGGTTAAGAAGCTTGGCGAGCATACTGGCATTGTAAATAGTTGTTGCCCACTGCGGCATGGAGCCAAGATGTTTGTGACGGGTGCGGATGATACAACGGTCAAAGTAAGCCCCCACATCGTTTGGCTGAAGCTTTTAGACCGTTGGAGCTTGCTAAGCTGCCGTTTTCTTGCAAGAGGTGATCTTTGAAAAGATAAAGACATAGAGGAAACAGTCATTGCTCAATGCCCCGCTTCTTATCTTGTTATCCTTTCGGACAGCGGTCCTAGCCCTCATCCGCTCCCTGTCGCGACAGTTCCTGGTTATTGGATTGCAACCCACGGTATTGCTCAACGTTTGCAAGCCGCCTACTTTAAAGCTAAGACAAATGCTGAAACGCGGCAGTTGGTCCGTGTCTATAAATTTTATTATGCACTGAACGCTAATTTAAATTATGCGCACTGGTTTTAACGCTAAATATGTCAACCTAAATATGTTGGTTAACATAATCTGCGTGATAACCAGGAGGATCAAGGATAAATCGTTAATTGTCACGGATGATTCGGGAATGCTGCGATGATCAGCAACTTCTTATTAAGATTACTGTAGATGATAATTCTATTGGCAGGTCTCCACAGATCAGAAGTCGTGACAGCCTCCATGGCTATTGGGGTACTTAGCCGCTTGCAGACTGTCAGAGGCACGGAATGAGATGCCGTACGTATAGCAGGACATTTCCGCATATCAAGGTGGCATTATGCAAAGCATGTCTGGCAGTGCAGGGACACATGTATACGGGATTGATACAGCTATGGCCGTAATCGTGTACTGAGTACGGCCGTAGCATCATATGAAGTACGGGTAATATTTACATGTGCCGCGGTCTTTATTCTATTCGACAATGAATTTAGGTGTTTAGAGAAGGGAGGGGATAACCCTCTTTGCAGTTGTCGTATCCTTTTTCCCGACTTAAGTTGTTTCAGATCGCCAGCAATTTACAAGTTCCGCACGCAAGTGCGGGTGTGTCCGTAAAAGCCGGGGGGCCATGGACGTTACATTAGTATTGATGCGGGTACGCGGGAGGCCATCATCATCCCCCCTCGTTCGCGTCAGGGCGAAGCGCCTCAGCGCGACGTGCCTGGCCTCCCAGGTTTCCGAGAGGTACCTGGCCAATGCCAGGGGTGGCGCCTCAGTCGTAATGGTGCGCATGCTGCGCCCCTCAAATACTAGGTCACCATCGTACTTAGCCCGTATGCTCTTGTGAGCGGGGCATCCATCAAAACATGCAACTCATCTTCAACCGCTACACAGTCACAAAGCCTGCAGGTATGCTAGGTGCGCTCACGCCCATTAGGCCTATTAACCTCTTAACTCCTAACAGCCTAACCGGAAACGCATAAGCACTTGATGCAGACGCTGGGGCATGGTCACAGCATTATGTATTGCAAGAAGCTCGCCCTGCATGCTGTACGCCCGGTTGGCCTGCTGCGACTGAAACCGGTTTTAGCGTTATAGTGTTGACTGCCTGGTGACTGGTTTCCTATGCTTTATAAGGAACCGCCCTAATCCGCTGATCATTTTTGATGCATGCGCCTTCCGGCTTTCCCGTATCGACAAGGACAGGTGTGGGACATGAGGGTAAAAAAGTCAGTCCTCACAGTGCGGGATGGCTTTCCGGTGTGTGCAGTGGCGTTTGCTGACACCGATGACCAGGTGTACACTGGTGGAGTGGATAACGTCATCAAGGTGCGCAGCGCTGCATGGCGCCCTTGTTTATTGTGCTGAGCCGGCACGCAATTATTCAGACGCTGCCTAAGGCCACGGTGCAAGGCATAAGACCGACCTTATGCATTGCAGCATTCCTTCCTTGTGGTCTTCAGCTAAGCTGCATGTTGAAAATTTCCAAGCCCTTCCGCAATGCAGGCATGGGATTTGCGCAAGGGCTCTGGTTCCGATCCCGCTCTATTGCTGAAGGGTCACAGCGACACAGTAACAGGGTTGCGGCTGAGCCCGGACGGCTCGCACCTTCTGTCCAATAGCATGGATAACACGCTGCGGGAGTGGGATGTGCGGCCGTATGCACCGCAGAGCCGTTGCACTAAGGTGTTTACAGGTGTGTGTATGCTTGCACGCACATGCTCCTATGTATGTCTCCATTACAGAATGTCTGGCCGAATCTAATGCCGTCAACAGGACAGGCGTAGATGTGGTGACGCCGCGAGCAACCAGCCTGATTTGCAAAGTGGTTTTGAAAGGAGAAATGGCTTAGACTGTTTACATATGGTCGGTCGTAGTCGGTTTTAAAACGTCGATTTATTGCCTGAATCTGGGCAGAGGTTGACCAAAGGAGGGCGCCTGTCCCTAAGTGAAAGTTACGCATATTGGCCAGTGCCATGGAGGAAGAGTCTCTGCGCAGGAGGGGCACAACAGTTGGTCAGCGTTTATGCTTTGGCTTCACGCGGGACAAATGGCGAGTTTGGAAGGTATTCGCGCACCAATCCTAGACCATGAAGACAAGTGGAGAAAGGCTAGACGGCGATTTCCAGGCTTTGGTCGGGAGATTGCGGGTGTAATTCTTCGTATGGGTGGATCTGCAGGCGGTATACCCTAGCGTGGAAAATGCTAAGGATTGGCATGGCTGAAGGAAATAATTAGAAAGCGTTAGGTCGGTGGAGGGTACGAAGAGGCAATGCTGCAAGCAAAAGACATTCACACCAAAGCATCTGCTGCAAAACGTCTGCTAGTACTTACCAAGCTTCCTTCACGCACTCCTAATACGGCTGACCAAGGGCCCTAAATCCTTAGCATGGCATGTCGCACCAATGCGTCCTATTATGTTTATATCCTCGTCCAGAAGTGTTCGTAGCAGCAGCCCCCTGACTAGCAACGAACACAATGTCTTTGCAGGTCACCTGCACAACTTCGAAAAGAACCTTCTACGCTGCGACTATTCTTCTGACGGTAGCAGAGTGGCGTGCGGCAGTGCAGATCGCAAGGTGTGCCCAATGCATGTAAATCCGTGTTAGTCAATGTGGACTTTGCAAATGTTTCTATTTGCCGTTGCAACCTGACTAAGCCTAGCTCTGCAAACATTAGTGCTGATGCATACCATTTGCTTAGCACTTCTTTAGTACGTGCTTTCCTTACACGTGAGGTAGTCCTTTCCGTCCTTTGTGCCATCAGGTGTACATTTGGGATACCAATTTGCGCAAGGTGTTGTATGCACTACCCGGTCATACTGGCAGCGTCAACGAGGTGGTCTTCCATCCCAAGGTGCGAACTAAGGTGGAAAAAGGGATGATATAGATGTCGTTCATTCGTCTAGGTCATGAGCATGGACTGGTTTCCTTCGCTATTTGCGCATTGTAAAGGTGATGAGAGCCCGTAGGCCGCCAGTACGACTATGAGGGGAAGCCAGTAAGGCCCCCACTTCACAAATACCAGGGTGAAGCAGTGAAACCCATGAACCGGCTGCGTGCGGCTTTTAGTCGGTGGTGGATATGTTCCAGCTGCGCAACCCTGGCTGATTCTAGGGTCGATCGAGTGTGGGGCAATCTTGTTTTATCTTCGTTATGGTAGGGTTGTCAGGGTTTTAGGGTTGCTAGGGTTTCCAGAATCCTATTGATTGTAGTTTGTTTTCGTTCATCAGGTACGGCCTATGGCTTGAACCCTGCCTGACGGGATGCTGCTGTCCATTTTTTGCTATGGTTTTGCCCTGCTCGCTAAGCTACTTCGCCTTATGTATGCCGGCTGGCGTTTCCGGCTGAGTTTCCGGCACCTGATTGCCTACGTCTTTGCGCCTTTAGCACGTCTACCTTGCCCATTTCTTAGCGAAGGGCTCTCATCATAACATTCTTTCCATTTTAGTACATTGGCAGTGTCAGGATCTTGCGCTATGCGACTCTGAATGCACGAGGTAGCAGAGAAGGCTCTTTAAGACTACCTGCTGCGTTCTCCGGTGTCATGCTTGGTCATCCATGCTTCTTGACCTTGTCTATAATGGAGTCGCATGTGCATGTATTTCGTGTTAAATCTGCATATATTTGTTGTATTTATATGGAATATTATTAAATAGTTTATTGTTCGGGGGTTGGCAAAGCCAAAGTAAATTTAAAATAGTGACTTCATATCTCGGGACGATGGATTTTTTAAAAATCGGGAAATACATCTAAATTGATAATGATTATTGAATACACCTAATATTATCGACTGGAAGTACAAGTCCCGCGGAAAGGTACTAGAGTGTGAATGTGTATTATACTACCTTGTGTTACTTATTGGAGGTGTAACAGAACCGTGCGAGCCGGGGGCCCAAGGGCCGCAAAGAGGCTGGCGCAGGGACAGCTGATAGAAAAGCGCGCAAAAGGAGGACTACTGCCATACAATATTCAGAAAGGCACAGTCCATAGTGCAGCAGCACGGCTGTACGTAGTCGCCCTGCTGTATCTGAAGCTGGCTTCCTGCTTAACGATTATAGAAGTCGACTGCCCTTAGGTCTCTGTTAGGCACAACGGGCTTTCCTCTGGGGTAATCATCAGAGCTTGTGCGCTTGCGGAAACTTACGGTCGGTTCCACAGTGCGCTTACGAAAGATTCCATTGAATATGAATCTTTCGCGAGGACCGACTGAACCGTGTCGCATTGGAAACGGGACCCCTTGGAAGCAGCAAACGGAATTTCCGTCCAGCCAGGCCGAGATATCACGGAAGTGTGTTGGAACCCGGTTTGGCGTCCATCACACACCAGCATCCAGCAGAATTTGCCAAATCTACGATGGCCTCACCTCGTTGGGCTCGCAGCCTACTTTTATTAAAAGTCCTTCGTTGGACTAGAGTTAGGGTTTTTAGGTTGGCTATGGACAAATGGAAATCCCGTAAATTGTCCAGTAGCAGGGCGCACCACCTTACAGTGCCGCAACTCCTGCAGCTAATGTTCAATGGGACACCGGGCACAATCATGGTGTCGCCTTAGGGTTTTATACATGCTCTGTAGAGTATCCCTAACAGATGCTGTAACGTCATTATGAGGCTCCTGATTAACACAGACGTCGTCCCATCTATAAGCTGACGCAGAACGTGCTTTTAGGTAACCCTGCAAAAGTGACCCGAACAAAAGACCAGGTTTGAAGGATGGAGCCGTTCGCATCGTGATAGGTTCTGGAGTTGTTGACTGCTGCCATGTGCGTTGGCCCTCCTAATAACTAAGGAACGACAGCGTCGATGCTAATGTTGGCTCCATCGCTGTTGCATCTGTTATGACAGGAGCCTATCATTGGGTCAGCATCGAGCGACATGACCATTTTCCTTGGAGAGCTCGTGTAATGACGACTGGAGCCACGCCCGGCCTTGAGTAATGGCTCGTGTTGTAGCAGCTCGTCCTTCCTGCATTTAAGTGCACGCTTGGGATAGTGTTCATGCGGTGTATTGGATGTATTGCGCGGCAGCTATGGGGCGTCTTTTCCGATGGTGTTTGTTGCTGGGACGCCTCCGCCCATCATTAAGCTAAAAATTATGCTTACAACGATTGTAGTCGGAATTCTTCCCCCAAATTGCGTGTGCAGTTTGCATATGGGCCTATATGAGATGGAATGTATGTAATTGTGTGCCTCGAGCCATTACAGCTTTAACGCAATCCCAGCGGAAATGAGTTACCCTTCTGTGGCGTCCTGCGTCGATCTATGGCTACCGGCCCAGTAGCACATATGTACTCGATATGACTGGAAGGAAGGGTACGCTGTGCCAGTCCATGCCTGCCGGGCTAGCAGAGCATGGGCTTATACAGAGTCAGCGGTCCAGTGCTCAGGGCGTGCAGGAGGCCAACGTACCATTACGTACATTCAGCTGCCCTCGGCGGATGTGCCGAGTCGCCAGGGTTCTTCACCCCGATTCGGGCCCGAACTTTTTGAGATATTTCCATTTTGCCCGAAAAGAAAATTAGTGCGCCCCGGAGCATTCCGAACGGATTTGGGCCTTTTGGAGCATTTTTCGGGGGCCCCACCGAAGCATTATGAAGGCATTTTCGGAGAAAACCGAACGATATTTCCGCGTAAATTTGCATGTTTTTGGATGCAGACGGGGCCTGGAAACCGGGCTTGCCGTATAAGGCCCGCTTGGTCAACAGTCAAAGAACAAGTACAAATGTGCATTGCGGCTGTTTTGCAGCTGTATCGCAGACATTTTCATACATCTAAGCATATGCATAGCTAAACATGCCCGAGTCAGCTGATGATGAGCGCCCAACCAAGGTGCCCCGCATCTCTTATGTGTAAAAGACATGCCTGCACAGTAATACATATGCCCCTCCCAGAAGGCAAAGGACATTTTACAACAGGCAGCCGACCTCAACCCAATTGCTAAAAGGCATTTTCAGAATGAAAATCAATGACTGGTTGCCAAAGGCGTTTCAGACCGTCGAAGTCAACGAAGCCATCGTGAATACCTAGACGGTACTCGGCAGACTGGTGGTCAACGCAACGACTTCAAGCTTGGATGGAGTGATGTTTCTACTGCTTTGTCAGGTTTTGCTTGCATCTCGGGCCACTGATGTAATACTGGTGGTTGCATATATTATGGTGCTCCACATATGTGAGCATGTCTGAGGAAGAGCGGCGTGGCTATGGCCGTAAGGAGTTCGTGAAGTTGCTAGCACACTTTTGCCACTAGGCAAGCTAACCGCCTGTTTGCATTTGATGTCAGCGAACTTGACGTTTTGCAGAAAGAGTTTTCAGTTATGAAGTCTAAGATGGCCTTGCAGTTGGAGCTGGGACGCACCTCCTGGGAGCGGGCCTGGGCTGGAATGCATCAGTGGGTCCACTTGTTTCCACGCTTAATTCAGATGGTGTATGTCGCTTGTGTCCTACCCACTCAAACAGCGTGTGTTGAGCGTGGCTTTAGTGTCCACCGCATTATCAAGAACAGGCTGCGTAACCGGCTGTCTGTCCCATCCATTGATTCCCTTCTGCGTGTTGAACTACTCGGTCCAACCGTGGATATGCAAACCCCTTGTGGTTAAAGCTGCTGAGGAGTATGTTGCAAAGAACCCGGATGGGCTCCTGCACCGTATTGCCAAGGTGGGCGACTGTGTTCTGCCTGATGAGAGTGATGACGAGGGCAGTGTGGGCAGTGAAATTGCTGAGGCCTATTATCCTTCTGATAACGAGGAGGTCGAGAGTGTGGCAAGTGATGAGGTGTACCCGTCTGAGGAGACGGACGATGATGATGTGGCAGGTGTGGTGGAGGCGATTGCTGCAGAGATTGACGAGGAGCGGCGCCTCCTTGGTTTTGGGTAAAATCCTTGCTGAAATATTTCTCCCAGGCGCTATGTTCCAAAATAAAATCAAACATCTGTTAGTTCAGCCGCCCTAGCATATAACGATAGAATCCAGCTAATTTCTACCCCGAAAACCGCTTCAGACAGTTTCGGGGTACCCGAAAACACTCTCTGGCTGACAGGAAAATTTTTGGGATGGGCCCCGAAAGGTTATTCAGAGGATTTCGGACACGACCGAAATTTTTGGGTACCCTGGTGAAGAACCCTGAATCAGCGTTTTTCTTTTGCGGAATATATTCCGAATTCGGAATAAAAAATTGTTCGCGGTCCTGAAAATTAAGAATAAATAATGTTCCGACCGTACAAGTTCATTCCTCCAGCCGAAAATGGACTTTTTATGCCAAAGCCGCTAGAATCTTACAGGAGACATATATGTTAACCATATCGAAGTACTTTAATGCCATGGATACTGTTAGGAAGGTCACGCCCGAAAGTCAACGCGGAATCGGGCTGTTTCTGACCGGACCAAACGCTGCAAAATATTCGGACCCGAAGCTCCCAAAACGTGGAAGGCCATTAAAGCAGATATTAAACTTCACTGAAGCCATTAGCGACGTTAATGAAGACGACTTAGAGGTCGTAGGCAATGAGGACAATGCTGCAGCCAACCGACAACAATGACGCCACTCCGGTTGTGAACAGCGAGAGGGCCAAACGTCAACGTTCTTCATACGAAGACAATCGCGATGGGCCAGGAAACACGGGCATCGAGGTCGATGGCAGCAGCAACCCCGTCGCTGCAGCTAAGACTCCTAACCCCACACTCCGCGGCGCAAAGACGCCCCGACCACAGACGCAAGGGCTTGTGAAGGGGCCGGTACATGATGGACCGCTAACTAGCGTGCAGCATCAACAGCAGGGGCTGCAACCAACCGCAGAGGTTGCGTTTGGCGGTTCTGGTTCGTTGCTGCTATGCATCATTACTTTTGCAATCTTGAAAGTCGAGTAGTGTTATCTTTCAACGTGTTGCAAAACGAGCGACGGTGAACGAACTCTGTTAGATCAGTGCTTGAGTAGGTGTTAACTGGTCTGTGTTTGCTTGGGCCCTGCAACAGCAGTCGCCCGTGCAACCGGGGTTCCTGTCACAGCGTGCAAGTGCCCCCCGCTTCCTGGCGTGCAAGAGGAGCGATTGTGGTATGCGCGTGTTGTGACATTCCCCAACCCCTGTGTTTGTACGAACTAAATTATAACTCATGGGGGGGGGGTCTGGGGGGGGGTCGGGGGGGGGCGTAGCCCCCCCCAGCGCCTTACAGATTCGGAATACTTTTATTCCCGCGACTAAAAACCTATTCCTCCGTTCGGACTGGAAAATTGACAGGCAAAAATGAAAAAAAAACATTGACCCTGATGCCGACCCAGGCTGATGGTTGCGTGGTTCACCTGAAGACCTGTTTAAGCCATTTGTTTGCGTCCTGACCTCAGCCCGAGCTTGCCTGCGAGTTTGGTGTGCCAGGTCCTTTCCCGTGCCCTGTGGTCAGGTGTCCTGGGCTCAGCTATGCTCTCGGCCATGTCGTGCGATTCCTAGTTGTGACCTACGTGTTGTATGGCAACATCCGTAGCACTGTCAAGGCCAGATGACTTAAAATCAAAGCACAACGCTGAAAGCTCGGCACCTGCAAGGAAAGCCCTTCAGCAGTATACAAGCTTGGAGAATCCCGTAATCTCCCCTGTCGGCCCAGTACTACAGCGGCAGAGTTTTGGCTGTACTATCACATTCGCAGCTGCATCGGCGAGTAGGGCGCCGAGCACCTGCAAATCCTACGATGCAGATGATGACCCGGCTCAAGGCGCTCATTCAACGATACCAGCCTTCGCAGGATGAGTTACTGCTGTTGGGTGAGCCAGGGTTGCTAGGTTGCACGAGGTCCCGACCAGATAGCTGTGGGTGAATCGGAAGACCATGCGCATATGCAAGTGGGGAACTCCGGTTTATTTTGTAGCCTCCCTGTTAGGCATAGTCAGGATGCGAATACAAATGGGATTGGCAGAGGTCTCGTCGAGCTCTAACAAATTTGAGCTGATCATTCTGAACGGCCGCTTGCGAGGTGACACGTATCAACACAAGAACAGTGCGGGCACTAGCATGATAGATCTGTATGTGGCATCAACTGCCCTCTTCCCTAGAGCTACGTGGCTTGAGGTGCTTGATTTCCCTGTCGCACCAGTCGATGAGCAGGGCGGTAGCCTGATGAGTGATCACTGCCCTGATTACCTGTGTCTTAGCGTCCTTGCTGGCATGCAGTCGCCTAGGGGCGCACGTGGTCAACGCGCGCAATTTGATTTACGAGATCGGCAATGTTACGCCCAGCACTTAATCACAGATGCTTTCCCTGTCCTAGCTAGGATCTCCAAAATGATGGGCGGGCAGCAAGTCAACGCCACAAAGGCTATTGAGTTATTGGGTAGAAGACTGGCAAAAACGTTGGCCATGGCTTTTGGTCGGCCCCGAGCTCGCGCAAGTTGGCAGACAGGCCGATGCTCCTTGGTGAACGAAGGAATGTCCCCCTGCTCGTACGGTTATGCTAGACCATGCGCTGAGGGCAACCTGTAGGACCATACTGCTTTAGCCGGCTGCACACCCACTACCAGCGTCTCCTTTGTTACGCCAGAGACGCATACCGCACGAATGAATGCCCAGCAGCCTGGCTGGGGTGACCGACTCCCATCTCCCATCTTAGGGGCCCGGTGCTAATCCCATCCCTTGAGACAGGTTTCCCATCCTGCCAGCCAGGGTCCCATCACCAATCCTACGGCCAGGGTTTCCAATCCCATCCTGCAGCTGTGTTCCCCCAATCCTCATCCTGCCAGCCAGGGTCCCTTCCCAATCCCATCGACCAGGGCCATCCCCATCCTGCAGCTGTGTTCACAACCGAAAGCTGTCAGCCAGGGTCCCATCCCCATCCCTTGCCAGCTACAAACCTACTCCTTACGTTTACACAGGTGCTGTAATATCGACTTTCTCTTTAGGCGTAAATCAGGGGAATGACCAGGGTTATTTTCTATTTCCGCGAGGTATTTTTCTCTTGCTCTATGGCTTATTTCCTCTAGCGTCAAATTCCGAAGCGACAAACGCTCTTTGAAGCGGATCTCGGCCGAGGGAGAGCTCGCAGCACAGAGGTCTATGTATCTGTTTGCACACTGGCTGTTAATGCACATAGCGCGTCGTCCTAACGGAGGGAGGAGAGTTATGTTCGATGGCCACAACAACAAATTATTATGCTGTGGTTAGTATGGCAGAACAAACAAGGGTGCTCTGTCAAAATGTCCATGGTTTGGAACGCGGGATGATGAAGAAGGACCGGGTGCACCAA